CTCAAGCAGGAGTTCGCCGGACTGCTGACTGAACTACAGCGTCGTAGGTCGACGACAGATGGCAGCATCGTCACTTGCCAGGTTCGAACGAGCAGGACTGGGAAAACGTTCCGCCGGGCACTGCCATTGGGCGAGGTAGGAAGCTGTTGATCTTTAACGGGATCTGTACTTTAATCGTCGCGGCACAAAGCTGCTGGGTTAAGGTGACGCCTGCGAGGTACCTGCCTGTTGAGTGTTACCCATCACTGCCCGAGCCAACGGCAGGCGATCAATGTCTTTGAGCCAGATGCGTATCCAAATTCAACCTTGAAACAGTGGGGTCAATCATCTAACCTAATCCCTCCGACTGGCTATAGGTCTATTCTGACATCATTGGATGCTTCTTCAAAAACACCCACGTCTAATTTTACATGTCTGCCCCATACTTAAGCACCTGTTGGCGTTTTTACACTTTCGGAGAATCCTTCCCAACGGCGGCATCCTTCTGTCAACAGCCGGACGGCACAGAGATGGAATTTCGGCGCCCCAAGAAGCTGCCGGCAGTCTCTCGCCAGGCGTCCACCAGCTCCAACACCTCCCAGAAGAGACCCCTCGCCACTAGCGAGGCCTCGCTCAGGTGAGACGGACACCGACAACGAGACCGAAAAGCTATCTATCGAGCATACGACATTCGTTATGTGCCAGGCTATCACCCGTTGTTGCAGTTTGTGAATCATGTCTCATCAAGTTTGTGTGCACATTTCAGTGCTTTTCCTTTGGCTTGAAGTCTACTTATACGGCCAAATAGCTCTCTCCCCCTTTAAAGGTGTCTCAGTCCAGAATAATGGTGACTAACAGCCTGTACCTTTCAGTTCCGCCGTATCGGTGACATCGCTCGACTCGGTATCGTCAGCCCGCGCGTCACCCGTGCATGCACCCCGTCCATGGACCGTTCAGAGCCAGCACCTGCTCCAGGAAGCGAGCTCGACTGTGCGGCTCAGTTCGCAGTTCAGCCCGCCAGTGGAGCAGCGCTCATGACGGCACTAGTGACGTCATAGATACCGTCACAGGGCGTGGAGACTGTGCATTGAAGTGCTGACTTCAAAGGCCAAATGACAGCACATGCAGCAGGACCTGATGTATCTGGAGTGTGCCCGTGTGGATACTGTCTTGTTTTTTTTTGCCGGTGACGTGATCTATTGCGTTTGGGGCATAGAGCATAGAGCAGCATGGCGGAGTTCATTCGCATCAGAAGAAGAGTCGGATAAGATGCGCTATTTTTCTTTGGCTTTTGCAGCAGGAAGTAACCTAATACAAAACATCCAGCGGAATCTGGTTCAGTGAAGAAGTAATTCCCCATTACACATAGTCCGTAGTCCCAATGACACTGAGCATGTTTGTGCGGACGCATTTTGCGAAGGTGGCCTGCTTCACTACCGTGGCAGACCAACGCTATGAAGCGTGGCCTCAGCTATCCACTTTTATACTTACGGGGGAGCGGTTCCGGGCGGCCAACAATTTCAGGAAAGTAACGTAAGACCAAAAGTGATGCATGGAAAGAACAACATCCAAAAAGTCAAAAATTTCTATTGAAGCCTCCATGCAATTCTGGAAAGTGAAGCCCCTCGGCGTTGTTGTGAAGTGAACCAAGAAAACGCAGTCGAAGCACGTTCTCATCGCCGTTTGACCAAGAAAAGGCTAAAAGCAATTACAGAGTGACAATGCAAACGTTCAAAGATTGCAATGGAGCGCAGATGACCCAAGAGCAAAATAGCTGTGGGAGTTCACAGCTTCTCGCATCGAGCACGCATTTTTGCAGACCATGGTGCTGATAAGCCAAATGCACATGATCGTAGATAAGTTTCAGTGGTAGTCGGAGAGGAAAACTCTCGCTCATGTGAGGGCCAGTGGCCGGCCGCTCGACCCATTGTTGTTATGAAGTGTTAGCCGTGCGTGGGACGGCGGATCGAAGTCATGCACCGCTCCCATTCACCACACCGCGGTGTGGTAAAGTGGAGGGAATGATCGAACTGAACACTGCTGAACGTTTAATGAACATTGACACCATCGCTGAGTGTTCCTCAACAGTGTTCACACCGAATGACCGATGCGATTCCTTGTGCTGGTCAATTGTATTGTATTGTATTGAATCTAAAATCATCCAAACATGACTTTCCAAGATAAGCGTCATCGTGTGCAATGCATGCAATAAAACGTCACGAAACGAAGCAAACATGCACCGGGACAAAATCACAACAATAGTTGTAGGCACAATACGTAGGTGAGTGCAAACACACGGTGAAATTTACACGTAGGGAGATCCGTTTAGGAGTGCAGTTGGCTGCTGAATGCCGTTATGGATGCCGCATGCTTCATGTGAGTAATGCCGTCGTTGTTATAATGTGTCAAGAGACGTAAGTCTACCACCAGACGTTATCCAACGGAGCAAGTTTTGAATGTGGAGATGGGCGAGAGTGGCTGATCTGCACGAGCTGTTTCGGTTGGGCTGACCATCCACCAGCTATCAAAACCGAACCTGCCGAATGAATGACGGGCGGTTGTGTGCCATCGACAACAATGCCAAAGCATATAATGCAGGAAAGGCTCCCACGAGCGACAGGCGAAATTTGAACTGAAAGTCGTAGTTGCCCGAAAACACAAACGCATACACATACACACAAGACACGAATAGCCCGAAAATCCTCAGGCTTTCCTATTGCCACGCGACCGCTACTGTGGTATGCGCCGGTAGTCTTTCTACATCTTTCAGAAGTACGGAAATTTTTTGGCTAACTTTAGCCCATGAACCAGTCGTCATATCGAACTTCAATGCGACCTTCCGTTAAGCACGGGGGTTGCGGCTGGACTGAAAGCTACAGAACGGTGCACTACTACCTTTCGGCCGCTTGATGAGCTATTAGTTGCTGTATTTCTCACTAGAGTACCTCAGTAGCTCAGGCAGATACTGCTCACTGGCACAAGGCCAGCTACGGGCGCACAAGCTCAAACAGACCTCAGTGCAGCTTTAATCGAAACGGAGTCCTTTTCGGAGACACGCCTTCTGACGCCTTGTAATAAGCGCATCTTGAACGGATTCGGTAAGGCGCAGGGTTGACACTGTAGTTTGTAACTATGTGAAAAAACAGTAACCGAAAATCTCACGGTATAATCAAATAGGTCCAAAACAGGACATACGCTTCACCTCCATGGCTTCATCAGTGCCCGTTCCCATTATGGCACTTAACACTTACACTGACATTAAGGAAGGCATAGAGTTGAAACGTGTGTCCTGTTGTCAGCCCTATTTGAATAGACCAGGAAACTTTTGTTATTGCCCTTTTAAATGCGACCAAAAACAATGCAAACGATTTCGATTTAAGGGTTCCTCAGTGTTTGTCTCAATGTATGACACACTGCCACTGAGGAAGACATAAAAGGGAAACGCATATTCTTTGCTTGGCCCTATTTTTATATACCATGATACTTTTGGTTACTGTTCTTTGCATAAGCATCTTGCACGTGTCTCTATGTGAGAGATTTGCAAACCAGAACAAGTGCTTTGAGGCATGATGTGCCCGTTCATAAAATTTTCTTTCGCCCTCGTGAATTGCCACCGATCATGCAACATAAGTTGATTTCGATCTCATAAATTCACACATATTACATCCTATAAACAGTAAGCTCTTTGCTGTGTTTGTACTGATGCAAATACATACACAGCCCAGGTAGTTCCACACAATCTATGTGACACACATTGGTATCAAGATACGTATGCCCCAATCATTTCCGTCCGTATCGACTTGCGTCATCCACCATATGGCATCTGCGATACCTCCGTACAGAGCATGGGTCTCAGCCTTTGTCCTTATTATCATATCATTTATCAGCCTCGATGCATGCCACCGCACGCATGGGTGTGGTAACCTTGCTCGACACTGACCATGTTCGGTTTAAAAAGGTATCTCACAAATCCTTGCACAATCCACAGAGATCTTCATACTTGTGCCAAGTCTATCTACTGAAGGCCATCACAAAGGCATCATGAGAACTTGGCTCATTTCAATTTTTGCGTGAGATCATAAACCCCAATGACTAGCTGTATAAAAATAGAGAGAGAAGGAAATATCTCGTTTGCTTCGCATTAGATGCGGGTTACAACCGTACACGCAGACTTCAACCAGATGTGTATGCAATCATCATGTACATTAGACGAACTCTCTGATAACTCCGCTAGGAACAGATGTAATGATAGCAATCCCGGATAGAGAATGTGCGTACGAAATATGTGAGACATTGCAATTATTTTCAATAGAAACACTAAAACATGTTCTAATATCGTTAAAAGCGCGCTTGGCCACTTCCGCGCCTCTCATACCACACTCTTTACCCACGGTACTGGTCCACGCGGTTGATCTGAACGGAGCTCTTAAATGTAACGGAGTCCTTTGCAAAGTGAGGTTAGCGAACGGCTAACTAAATTTTGTTGCCGTAAAGTAACGCCGATAACAAGATATAAGTGGTGATAAAGCGTTCGCTATCTTTCCCCCTTAATGTGATGATGACTTCAACAGTTATCCCTCCAGTAGCCGAGCAAAAGCAAACTTGTTTTGTAGCTTTCTAAGTTTTTCGTATTTTGAACTCTTTACAAACAATCTCTCACACTTTAGCACGTGAACCCCGCGTTCAAGGTTTTAATTTTACAGCTTAAAAACATCAGATCAAGTATTTCAAACCATACTTCTTTTAATTGTCAAGCGTCTTTGAAAATTGACAAAAACCAAGATTTTCTACAACTACAACGTTACACCTTGTAAAAGCGTTGGGTTCAGTTGCTTCTTGTTTTCAGACCCTGACAATCTGAGCGTGTGGATGCTTTCACCAACTTTTGCAGGCTTCATGCGGTTTGTTCTATTTCCTTTTCTGTTTTGAGCCGTTCCTGAGCAAAGCCACATAAACAGCCATCACACATATATGTGCTCTGGGACTCCTTGCACCATCATAACACCGACAGCATAACGGCGATCGTATATTCAACAAAATATAAATACGCTTGAAATATACAGCTTTTAATAGCATGCATACAGTCATGTCTTACTCAAGAGCGCATATAGATCGGAACTTCATCTGGACAGATGAGGAGAATAGCGCCGCCAGAGCAAAACAAACTGCGCTTTGCCTCTGTCAGGCTCACACAATTTTTTACCTCGAAATAGGATACAATCGCTGTTTTTCGAACCGGACATTTGCATACTTCCCGCACACTTTGGCCGACCTGAATGCCAGCGCCATGTCTCCCGCAGCGTGCGTAACGTCTGACGCGTCACGCGACGCCCCATTCACCGCATCCGATGCCCGTCTGTGAGGTGCCGTGCGTGGGGATGTTGCGCCTCTCACGCTCACGCCACCACGCGCGTGACCGACCGTGACCCCAGGTCGGTGACGGGTCACAAGATCGTGAGCCGTCGCTGGTGGTGCGCGTCTCCAAACGTCCGACCGCCGGGCCGCGTGGTGGTTGTTCACGCTTTATGGTGCCGTCGATCAGGCCACCGCAGCCGCGCGGGCCGTCCGCGGCTGTCTAGTCATCTTTACATTCGGGATCAGCCGTGGCGGCCGAGGAGACGCCATGCCATCCGTTTGGTCTCCACGACTGTCAGAACAGATAACGACGGTGCATTTTTGGCAAAGGGCGGGACCAGCCGTGTCAGTCACGGAGACGCAGACCACCAGCCCGGTCTCCGCAGCTCTCGGGGCCGTCCGTGACGTCTCGTCTCTGATCTGCCGAGACCGACCGGGACAGCCGGGGAGAATGGGACCGCAGTCTCGCACTGACAGCCCCGCCCCACCCACTCGAAGTGGCACTAGAACAGAGGCGGCGCACCGTTAAACCGGATGTCGGGTCGCACGTTCGTCGGCGGGAATGGGTTGCCGAAGCGTTGTCCCTGCGAGTCCCCTAGTCCCCGGAAATCGCCCGGAACCGGGGCATACGGCGGACTGCCGCCAGACTGCCCGAAGGCGCTCGGGTCGAAGGAACCGCCAGGCTGCTGGCCGGGCTGCCTCCCGGCCTGCCGTCCGCGCTGCTGCTGCCCAGCCTGATGGCTGTTACGCTGTCCGGGCTGCTGCTGGCCGCGCTGCTGCTGGCCGGGCTGTGGCTGGCCGGGAAGCTGTGGACCCGCCGGGAAGGGGAACCGCTGGACGGGCGGCCGGGGGCTGTTAGCCGTCTGCGGCTGTCGGAACTGGGCCGCGTCCTGATACTGCTTGCCGCCGGCACCGCGCAGCTGGGAGGCCTGTGGTGCGCTACCCTCCGACAAGCTACGCTGGCCGCCCGGCGCCTGCGAGCCCCGCTGACCGGGGGCGCCGAAGCCAGGCTGCGAGCTCAACCCGGGCTGACGTCCGCCCTGGGGACGGAAACCCCGGGGAGGTCCTCCCTGCGGACGGAAACCCTGGGGAGGCCCTCCCTGGGGACGGAAGCCCTGAGGTGGCCCTCCTTGAGATGCGAAGCCCTGAGGAGGCCCGCCCTGAGGTGCAAAGCCCTTAGAGGGTCCACCCTGACCTCCAAAATCTTGAGGAGATTTATCCCGGGGCTTAAAGCCTTGAGGGGGGCCGCCCTGAGAATTGGAGCCTTGGCGTCTACGCTGACGCCCCGATCCCGCAGGTGGGCCACCCTGGGGTCTTCCGAAGCCAGCTGGAGGACCTCCCTGGGCCCCACGGTCAGCCGGAGAGCCTCCTTGGGTACCGAAGCCGGACGGAGAGCCTCCCTGGGCTTCATGACCAGGCGGAAAGCCTCCTTGAGCGCCAAAGCCGGACGGAGGGCCTCCCTGTGCGGGCCGGAAGCCTCGTCGAGGGCCGCCCTGCCTGCGGCCACCTGGCTGTGATCCGAACGGTGCGTGCGAGCCGTCCTCCGGTTCGGCCCCGAACCCGGGTCTAAAGCCGGACTGGGGGCCGTCCCTCGAGGCAGGCGCGAAGGCCGGCTGCTTCAGCCGGTCACCGGCACCTCCGGCGCCCAACGGGCTACCGAAACCCTGTCCGGGCCCGCCGCGCCCCTGCTGGGGGAACCGGCGCTGGGACTGGCCCAACGCCTGCTGGTCCCGCCCCCGCGCCTGTGGGTCTCGGCCCAGCGCCTGCGGGTCTCGGCCCAGCGCCTGCTGGTCCCGGCTTCGCGCTGGCTGACTGCGACGCGCCTGTCGGCCCGGCTGCTGGTCAAAGCCCTGCTGGAATCCGTCCTGCGGCTGCCCAAACTGCTGCTGGTCGATGCTGCTCGGGTCAGGCTCAAGGCCGACCGTAGAATGGTCCGGAAAGTAACGGTCTGCGTACTGCGGGTTGGTCGAGTCATTATTGACCTGCTGGTACAGGTAGTCGTTGACGAAGTGGAACTCGTTGGAGCGCTTGCAAATGTTACCCGAGCCATCCAGCATGCAGATCAGGTTGATCTGGTGGAAGCTCTGGCCCTCTGGGCAGACCCACGAGTGCTTGACGCCGGCGGCGCAGTAGTGGAAGACGGCGCAGTCAACCGAGTCGTCGGCGAAGTAGCCGTTCGCGTCCGCTTTGCATTTGAATGTGGATTTGGCCAGCAGCGTCGACAAGCGGTCAGGCGAAGCCTCCTCCTCCCCGCCACTGTCACCGAACTGAAACATGAAGGAGCGTTGTGTCATCCGGAAGAGGGGGAGTTGCCATATACAGAGGGAGCTGTGGGTTGATATATGGTGTGGACGCAAAGCAATGTTTGCTAAAAAGACCGCCAGCTTTGAAAGGTGGCGGTCAAACCGAGGATTCTGTTCCACTAGCGAATCATTTTCAGTGCTCTGTGTTTTTGGTAAAAGTGGGAGTAGACATACACAAGTACGAAGACGCTTGATTTAACATGGCAAAGCTATAGATGAACTTGTGGAAGGAACGGAAATCATGGACAACACTAAACTGTGTCAACAGCGCAAGCCCAGCACGACACATTTGAAGATTTTCAACGAAGCAGATCACATCCTAGAATCGCTAGTCCGTGACTCACGAGACAATAAGCTGCGCACTCTCTGTCAGCCTGCCGTGAAGCAATTTGCGATCACTGGTGACGAACCCGTTATGAGCGTCACGGGCGCGAAACCGCGGTTTCACGTTCCCCGCCGCTCGCACGGCGATTTTCTGTGAGTCGTCGGAGGCGTTCTGAGACTATTAGGTTTCTCAGTGACTTCAAAGTAGCATCGAGACATTTCAAGATTTCTTCCTGGTCGTCTTTGGTTATTTTCGTCGCCCATGAATATAGCTAGTGCCTGTCAAACGTTCGTGGCACAGGCACCACCCGCTTCCACAAGTTTTCATGCGCTTTCAAACAAAAAGTCTTTCTCTGAAATGGATGCCTTCAATACGTCGTTGCAGCATAATCAGAATAACACAAGACGTAAGTCACTGGTTTGGACGCATAGGGTAGGCTGTCTGAAAATGACCTTATGAAAGAGTCTCCTTGATAGGAAAAGTGACGTCCATCATGTGCTTTGTAATGGTCTTAAAGTCTATGAACTGTTGAAAAAACATGCAAAGTAGTCCCAGGAACGCCCAACATTTTAAGGGAAAGATCGCATCACCGTAAAATCCCGGGATTTCCCACCCGCATTCATTTCTGCTGTGGCGGTTAGTGCATCCGTCATCGACGTGGTGCTGTTTCCTCTGATACAATCACGGCAGCGCGCGAGACACACCCCATACCGTGCGCGACCGAGCCCGACTGCTACGCATTTCACCGCCCCACGCACGGCGCCCGGCTGACCTCTGCGCGCCTGACCTCGTCGCCGCTGACCCTGTGCGCCTGGCACCGCCCAGCCGCCGCGCCACCGGGCCGCGTGCAGGGCGGGTCAGGCGCCGTCGGTGGCGCGTGCAGGAGCTGGACGGCGCGTGAGAGCCAGGAAAACAGCGCCGCCGGCCGGCCGGCCGCCGGCCGCCGGCCGCGCCCCTCTCGGCGTGACGCGCCACGAAAAAACGCAGCCCTGGCCCCCGAATGGTGGCCCCGCCCGCGGAGCGCGGGGCAAACATGGCGTGCGGTGGCGCGGGGTAGGTGCTGGGGTCGGCTCGCACGACCTGCGCCTTTGTACAGGGTCAGAGTAAGAGTGGAGATAGGCGGGCCTGTTTACGACGATATGAGGACGCGAGAATGAAGTGACAGCCAGGAACATTTGAGCTCAGGCCCCCTGCAGCTCAAAAGGCTAGCGACGAGGCATGGGCCAGTTTGCAGCGTTTCGTAGTGACTTGCGGCTGCAGTAAACTAAGTGGACGACGAAATCGGAAATGTGCTATCGTGGCCGTCATCAGCAGATTGTATCAACACGCTATGAGCAGCACGAATGTCTGGGACGATTAAAGTCACTGAGCTGCAAAAGTTGAAAAAAACAGAGCTGCAAAAAGAGTTTGGCGAGTGGCGGAAAGGGAAGCGTATGATTGTGTTTCCCAATCCACAAGTATCTTGCACGAGTCGACTACAATGACAGTATCGGGTCCCACGAGAACGTACGATCATAACTAGTCATCGAGATAAAACTGCGCCAGCAGGATTGCGAAATTATCCCAGAGACAGCTTGAAATCGCTTTGATCAAAGTGATTTAGTAATCTGGGAAGGTTTATGCATGTGCTGATTGTGCTCATTTGTACGGGGTATGGAATGCTCATGCTCACACCTTACGAATGCAACTGCTTTGCGACAGTGCACAAGCAGCCCTCCAGCACGTGCAGAAAATAGACACACAAAGGTTTTCACCTGATCTGACTCAAAGCTTGTTAAGACCTTTAAGTGAAATTATATGGTACAAATTGGAATATGCCCTGTTGTGGTCTCTATCTGTGCTCCGTTTTGCTAGAAGCTGGCACTCAAAGCAGTCTGATCACGTGTCACTGTATGCCACATGACGTTCAACACGTGTGGTGTGTTACTAATTCGACATCCAGTGATATTGGATGGTTTGTAGTTCCACCCGCGTTGTAGCTTCCATGTAGGCGAGAGGTTTGCGGCTCACCCAACCTGGGTGAGAGGTCTCCCACAGTGTTTATGTGGCCTTTATAAAAACAACATGACAATGTCATGCGGTAATATATGCGGGCAAGGGCTCTACAATGGTGTAATTCTATGATTTAAAACAATCTGAACCGCCGAAAATCTGAGTTCGATGCGTAGAAGAATGTTATGATATCTCCCAACCCACCCACTCCCATTTTCAGGTGGATCCTTTGCTTGTGTGAGAAGTCTTCTTACCTGTTTGCCACGGGCGTAATGAAGGGGGTCAGGCGGGGGAGGGGGCGTAATACGTGACCCTATCAAATCTTTATGTGCATCAATATCCACACATCCAAATGTCGACAAGTACAGAATTGCAAGCGACAACTAAATATAGGTAGATTGAAATCACGGAAGTTTTCACCCCATGCCGGAAATTTCAAAGAAGTGACTTTGATTGGGCCAAGTAAAAGGTAGGTAAGTTCCTCTTTGGGGTATTTTACCGTGACAGAGTTACGGCCACAGCGTTACGGTCGAAAATAAAGCAAAACAGTGGCAATATGTCAGGTCGTCGTGATTTGTTGGTTTAAGCGAATGCTTGGTGAAATTATAATTGCTCGCTCCGGGCGACAAGGTATGTTGAGGAAACTTTTGGCAAGCTCAATGTTGGGGAAAACAGGCTGCTTGAACATGGAATAAAGGCACCGAGTTTAGTTTTGGGGCCATTAAAGGCTGAGCTGGCATGCGACTATTGTTCGGATAGTTGAACAATGTCTTCCCGTAGGAGTGCTGCTGGAAAGTCCCGGGCCAGCATGATCCAAAAACCCTTTGTCATTCCGTCATTGGTGGCAGACCCTGTCACACAGACTAAGTGCCTCGCCTCGTACTTACCCCACCGCCGACGCCGTCTTCTTCCGTGAGTGGGATGGGCTGGAACCGGCTGCCGGACCGGCCGGGGCTGGCGGCGCCGGACGCCCCCTGGCGATTGGGATCAGTACCCGAATAGGGACCCGGCGCGCCACCCTGGGATGCGAAGCCGCCCTGTCCGCCATCCTGGGATCCGAAGTCTCTCGGTCCTCCTCGCTGTGCGCCGAAGCCTCCGGATCCTCCTCGCTGTGCGCCGAAGTCTCCCGATCCTCCCCGCTGTGCGCCGAAGTCTCCCGATCCTCCTCTCTGTGTGCCGAAGTCGCTCGGACCGCCACGCGGCGAGTCATATCCTGCCTGGCCGCCCTGCTGATTGTCCCGCGACTGGAAGCGAGGACGGTTCTGAGACGGCAGCGTCTGCAGCTCCTGCGGCGTGCGCCTCGGCGGGGCCTCCGAGTCGTAGTCCTGTCCCGCCTGGCCGCGGAAACTCCGCCGAGCTCCTGAGCCCTGCTGAGGTCGGCGACGTAATACCCGGATGGGACGGCGGCCGTTGCGCCGGCGAGGGTTGTCTCGGAAGTCTTGCTGGAGCGAGCCTCCCAAATCTTGCTGAGGCCCACCACGGAAGCTCTGTGGGCGACGACCGGAGTCCTGCCTGGATCCGCCGCCGAAATCCTGCGCAGGGGCCGCCCCGAAGTCTTGCTGCTGCTGCTGTTGACCCTCGAAGTCCTGCTGGCCGCGCCTGCGGAAGTTCTGCCGGCTGGGCGCTGGGTCGGCCTCTGAGTCGGCGTACTGGACCTGGGCCAGAGAGCCGACCGCGCAGGCGGCCAACAGGACCAGAGCCGAGCGCATCTGGGGACCGACCAAGCGGACGTCACGTTCGCTGCACAAGCTGACGAGGATGCCACGTGCTCACGGGGTGCGCTCAGGACGTGAGTGGGAATGGGGGTCCGATGGTCCAATGGAGCGCGGCAGGCGGAAGAAGCTACGCAGGTGCAGGGCGCAGTGTGTCACGGTGAGCACGAGGATGAGCGCGAATTGCTTCAGGGGAAGGCGTCGAAGCTGCTAGCAAAATGTGGCACCCCAAGCAGCCGCACACCAGTCGGATTAAGGACAGGGATTCTGATCAAGCCAACTGACAGAGTGGGAAGCGACCCAATGTAAACAAAACGCCAGGGTGTTAGAATGAGGAAAATACACGCATTCCTGAGACGGGCGGTCTCACATGAAGAAAGGCTGAACGGGAAAGAGCCATGAATACTAATAGGGTTGCTATAAACATGCTAATATATAAATGCTATAGCTCATATATGAAAGTCGTACCTACGTATATATACCGCGTATATATGCTACGTATGTCGTACCTACGCATATATGCTACGTATATATGCTACGTGTATCGTACCTACGTATATATGCTACGTATATATGAGACGTAGCCATGAGCGAATAAGGGACCGTGCTGCAAGCATATTAATTATAATGGAACATTAATGGGCCGGTAGGAAAAGGGGTGCCCGCATTCGTTGGTATTAAGACTGAGCACGTCTGGACAACAGATGGATCCCTATAACCCTAAAACCCTATAATCCTATACATATAACCCTATACCTAACCCTATAATCCTTGGGTTTGAGATTGCGATAGAACATGTGAAATGATCTTGAAGCATGGCAGGATGTGCTAAATTACAGGTATACTTTGAAAAGGAACCCTGGAAAACGGATGCAAAATATACATTTACAACCGTAGGTATGCAATGAAGCAGAACTATAGAAAATATGTGCAAAAGGAAACAGCTTTCTCGGCAGACTGTTTTATCACATTGCAGGGGATTAAACGTTTTTAGTCATGGCAGAACTAAAACATGGTCGAAACAAAATATTTTCAGCTATGCATAATTTTCATGCCAAGAAGTGCAGAATATTTGGAGCCTGATCGATAACGTAACGTAACTTCAATACCTCATGAGGGTGCCGTAGGTAGTATGCATTTTAAGCAGGAATAAGTATGAATGCATATGCATATATACATATACACGCTGGAGTATGCATGCCATATCGAGCGCATTCCACCGTAATTAGTAAGACGCCTTGCTTTGCGAACAAGTCAGAACTTCGTTTACAATCATAGACAAGATGTAGAAATGGCCTTTTCGTCGTAGAAAAACTAAGAGCATGAAGATTTAGATGCGCCGATATTTCGGCAGCATGCCTTTATCAAAATGAATAGCAGAAGCTGCCGCTCTTCGAAGAGCTGTTCTTCGTTTCGATGAACGCATGTTGCCGAAATATTAAGGCATCTATATCTCCATACTCCTGTTGTTTTTTTCTGCGAGGAATTCGGCTATTACTACTACTATTACTCTATGCCTAATTTTCCTAGCAAATTCCCTCCACAACTTATGTATTTTTGTTTACAATTGCTAACAGTATCACACCATCACTCGAGTGACATAGAACTAGGAAATTACATCGCCAAGCCAGAAGCTGTAACATCTTCTCACACTACTCACCTCTCGAGTGTGCGCCGTCCGATCTGTGCAGCACCGTCACCACAGGCACCACTTCGTTCTTGTGTGCGCGCGAGTCAGACCGCGCCCGTGATGCGACCCTGCGGTAGACCGGGCGCCACCTGCAGCGTACCTGAGGCCGGCCGGCCGCTCTCTCTTATATAGCCTAGCGCACAACCCTGGCGGGCTGGCCGAGAAAAGCCCGCCGCCTTCCCAAGGCTGCAAAAGTCGCCGCCGTGCCGACTTTTGCAGACGCCGCCGGTTTCTGGAAGGTCCGACTTGAGCATTCCCTACCGCAGATAGTGGGTGTGGTCCGGCACTTTGGACGCAGCTCAAGTATTTGCTGAACGGCTGAAGGAATATTCATGCGGCACTTGTCCTTTGTTAATGAAAATCCGGCAGGGATTGGAATTAATTGTCAACGCTTGTGGGTGCAGAAGACTTTCAGACTAAACACTGATCGGTGATACAGGAAGTACTGATTCACCGAGATGGAAACGGACGCTGTTATTGATTGTGTTGATAAATATGACATAAAACTAGAAAACTGGCGTTGGATACTCACCCACCGTCCCCCACCACTAACTTGGCTCACTTTCTTTTAATGCTCTGATGAAAAGATAAGATAAGTTCCCGATGCATCCTCATCTTTGTTAAGATGTTATCGACGCAACAAGTCAGACCTCGCTCAGAGGGAATGTCCCCGTCGCCCGAGAGATGTCGCGTGGTTCCAGTGCCGAATGGCGCCAAAGGATGCTTCTAAGCTACGTGCCCGTTGTGGTCGGTTGGGCGGTAAGTCCAGTGAGAGTTCCGCTGCGGGTGATGGTTGGAAAGAGATGACAAAAATGGCTATCGTTCCTCCAGCATAGAGCTCTTCCGTCCTACCATTCGGTGCATTAAGTTCACGTGGCTTATGGTCTGATTATGTTGTGTCCTAGATGTGCCGCTACGCCCAGTTGACGCAGACTCATTGACTGTCTCATTCTTAAGGGATGTGTTCTGATGTTTGTTCAAAGTGTTGGCAAAGGAAATTTAGGGATAAGCGAGGACCTTGGATTGCATGAGTTGCTGTATGTCCAGAGTGCAGCTAATAAGCTTTTCCATCTGTTTAAGAGTTCCTTCCTGCCGAACAAATTTGCGGAGCGAAGCATCAAACTCACAAAAACAAAAAGCCCAGCTTCTTATTATGGAAAAGTATTTTCAGACGCCTTGGCTGGTTGACCGCTCAAATCAGGTCAAAGATGAACAATTTTTGATTGTCTCCAAATCAAACCATGTGTTTTCTATCCTCAAGCTAACGATATTTTCCAAAGCCACAATAGCGTTCAGGTCAGGTTCACGATTGTCAGATGAAGTCATCCGAGGTGAAATTTATCTCGATCCTGAATAACATGAATGATGAATGACGTGAGTTTCCGAGGCTAACAAATTTTGCTATTTTAACGGGAAATGAGTGGTAATTTTGAGACCATTCTCCATACTGTACCATGCCATTCTCCACACCATTCTCCATGTCATCATACTTTTCCTGAAGGGATATATAAGTGACTCTTCTTAAAGTAATAGAATATAAAAAGGCACTTTAATTCACGTCCAATAACTTACGTAACCTCTTAGGGACCTCTTAAATTGGCTAGTCATATATTTTAAACCACAAGGAGATCGTCGAGGAAAGCAGCCGTTTTACCGCCCTTATAACAACACATGCTGGAATGCTCTGGAGTTGGTTCGGGGGCCTCTCCCTACACTGATGTACCTCGCCGAGCTGCCCGACAAAATTGAAATCAGCATAGCCGTTTTGACAATGAATTAATGCGCTGAAAACAAAACCAGTTTTTTAGAAATACGTCCCTGATATTTCAATACATGTAAAGCACTGTGCAAGGAAGACGATTGCTTGCATGCAATTTCATCGATGTTCAGCAGGTGACCCACATGTATCCAACTAGGGAATAAGTTTTTTACGCGACACAAGATTCTTTATGGATTTTTCCTCAGTTTGTGCCCTTAGGTCACCCAAACTCTTGAATAATACCAGGCCTGGCAACCTGCCGTGTGGATCGGTTGAGGGCGTTGGATGCTGGCTGCGTGATTATTGTTTACGCCGGTGTTACAGATAACTATTATGAATGTGCAACGTTTCTGAGACCTTCAGGCTGGCCTTATCCCTAGCTGTTGCCTAAGTTTATATCTGAAAGTTGGCACTTGTTGCGTTATGCTCCATTGCTGCGTGTTGGTCTACCATGTGCTCCCCCGGCACACATGGAGCACGTGTTATCTATGGAGGACCCATGGTCTTCCTTGGCTCCTCTTTCCGTAAACGTACGCCTCCATGGTTTTCATTAAATTGGTCACGAATGCTACGTATTGTGTGTCCTACATAAACTGTCCCAGGGCAGATACTGCAAAAGATTTTATACGCCATGCTCATCTGTGTGCACCTTCCTTTCAGTCCACTAGCACATGTACAGCAAATCCTAGTTCCGGCTGGTCACGTCAGTGCCTCTATCACCAGCTACCCAGCTCCCCATCTACAACGGGGAGTTTCACATGCGCATAATTTGTTTGCGTTGACTTCCAGCAAATTTTCCGCAATCCTGATGCAGCGTTAAATCATGAACGTGCGGCAGAAGCTGGGGCCTGCCTCGGGGCTCAGGGGAATCCATTTCCACTGAAAAGAATGGAAAGTTTTAATTAGATTACACTCATACGATCATGGATCACAAGATCAGCACACGGCTCTTGGCCTTTGTGACACCAGAATCACTTCTTTGGTCGCCATGGGGTGAGCTGCATTGTAATCTGGTATGATGGAAGTGCCTATGGGCTTAAAGTAGAATCTTGTAGCGTAGCTTACATCTGATTGTACTATCTGATTGTACCAGTAAGGGTGCTGAGGAATGGATTCAACATCTTTTGAGTGGTGCTATCCAGTGTGAAAGAAATGCCAAGAAAGTGTTTATTTTTGCAAAAAAATCCTATCTGCAGCACATCCGTAAGCTTTGTCGCTGGCTGAGCACACTTCCGAAGTCTTGGGATGGGAGTTGAGCAGCGGTTTGCAGGTAAGCTAAGTTCAGAACTTTGCTAAGCTAACAAGAAGCTTGCTGACACCAAACCAAACGCATTCAAGGTTGACTCATACAAAATCAGCACATTTCATCACACATCCTCGGCCTTTGCGTCATAGACGCTGCACATGTATGCACTTTACAACTGGCCGACGAGCCAGTCAAGGTCGCGACTGGCCCCTTCCGGCCGGTGCACGCACAATGCACCGGATGTCACGACTCTGTCCGTGGCCGTGACGACGTCAGTGGACAATGAACATGCGCACTTAACTCCAAGAGATCCTGCAAAAGATCTGTGGGCGTGTCATCGGTGGCTGACAATGACCAAACCGATCGATTATATCGGATCAATCCTCGCCAGTGAACTTAGGCTCTAAGCTGGTATCACGAGTACAGCACTACATCTCAAGCGTCTTGAACTTAAAACGCATTAAATGTGCGCGTGGTGTTTATGCTATGTAAGCATGACAACAATATTATATATTTTCGATATCAGTGGTGCAAGGTGATTTGATAGAAAGTAAGGTAAAGCTATGCCAGGGCCCGCCTGCTTTCGGCAAATATATCGATAACAGTTTTCTTTAGCTACATGCTGAGCTTTTGCAACCGTATTTCGTCCTGCATATTATTTTACCCCGGGTATGGAACGCTGCGAATTGTTGCTCAATTCACTTCGTTCTTAATCTGAAAACCGTCATGTAGTTTCCTGAGATATTCGGTGATGTTCAGTTAGTTTCTTCCAACCAAGTTCGAGTGATTTGCCGAAATGGTCACATGTATTACATAGGACATCACACAAAAATGCGACGGTCCGTTCCTGTATATCGCATTCTTGAAGCTGCTCATGCCCGAGAGGAACATAAATTAGCTCTATGCGTGTAAGATTCCAGAGAGGAACGACGCGTGAATTATATATCTTTTAAAAGCTTAACAACTGCGCATAACGAGGCAGACCTGCGGCACGGCGTATTACACAATTGGACATTATCACCGCTCATCACGCTGACCGAGGCGCCGACTTGTCAATTCTGCACACGGAGGAAAACGCCGCTGGTCTGATTCAGCGGGAGATTACGCCAAACTCACCGGAACTTAGCTCTGACGCATGCGAGTTCCTCTTGTGGCGCCGCCACCCCTACCTCCGTCTGCCCTGCACCGGAAGACGAACTATGGCACCGGACACCATGAGTCGGACACCGACCACGCCCAGCCGCCTGTGAAAACGACGCCATCGGCTGCGTAGGAAGGGGCGCAGCGGGGGGCGGGTAGATGTCAGCGACAGTGCTGGTCTGTGACTGGGTTTCCGTCTATGCCTGCCATTGTGTAGCCAGCTTATCACTGTGCATCTGTGTAAAAGCCTTTCATGAGCTATGATCACTGCGTTATGAAGTCTTTCTAATTACGGTCGTAGTTTTAGTCCCAGTCGTTCAACTTCTAAGTCGCGTTATGCTGATATGCTCGTTGGTCAAAAATGACAAAAATTACTCCAAGTAAGGCGGGAGTCGAGAGAGAAGTGGTAGGCAGAGCTGAACATGTTATGCTATCCACCCCGCCACTTTTTCCACTACGAGCAGTTTAAACGATAACTAATGCTTAAAGACTTCCTTTGTAATTGCAACAAATGAAAATATGTATCTCGTTTAGGACAGAAATCATATGACGAATGTCATGCAAACAGACATACCTAAAAAGACGCTTATTAGTACGCACAAGCGACCATGGTGTGGTCGATGATGATTCGTCTCTTCTACATAGAACACCGGCCATGCCTGACCATCACGCTTTCTGAAGGTAACTACATTTACAAACACTGGCTGCATGTTCATGCGGCTTTCAGCAGCATGAAACGCAAGTCCACAAAACTCCCATTTTGTTAATTTTTAGCTACCGACATGCAAGCTGTTTGGAAGGGCAGTCTTTTCCTGCAACGTTGCAACATCGCAACAGCACTACGATTTCATCTTCCCATTGCATCAGCACGCAAAAATAAGAGTTTTCAAATGGCGAACCATGTTTCAACCATGGGCTGAAACAAAATCGAAATCGCAGTCTCCC